GCAGATAAGATAGAAGTATATCTCAGAAGACAAAAGAAGAAAAGAATGAGTAGCATATGGTGCACAGAACAATCAACAGTTAGAAAAGATAATTAAGAAAAAAAGAAAAAAAATACTAGTAGAACATTGGCAAATGCAGAATAAAGAAAGTGAATTTGCTATCAAAATTAGCAGATATAAGGGTTGTATAAGAGAAGAAGATATTGAGAAAATCCTTGCCAGCAGTAGATAAAAGTAAATAACAGAGTTAATGTAATTCCAAATGTATTGATAAAAAAAGGTAGCAATAAGATCAAAATAGTGATAGATCAAATAACAAAAATAATAAAACCAAATAAATCAGAGATAGGAGAACAGAAACTCAAAGAACTAAGAATAATAGAAGAGCTAGAAGTAAAGATAATCAGATAATAAAAGTTAAAAGATAATATTAGTTAAGAAATAGTAGAAGTCTTAAGAAAAAATATAATAAGAAACAAAGACAATTATATAATATACACAGATAGAGCAGCAAACTTGAAGACTAAAGAAGATGCAAGAAGCAGAAATAGTATAGGCATAGGATGGGTGCAAATAGATAAAACATAATAATAGCCAGAAGAGAAGATAGCATTAGGTCTAGAAGGATGGCAAACATTAACAATAGTTAAGTTAGTAACAATATAGGTCACAATTTTAATGATATCAAGAGAAAAGCAAGTAGAAATATATACAGATAACAATGCAGCAATAAGAAATATTAGTAAAGGTTTAGAGCAAGTATGCAAAAATAAACTTCTTAAAAAGAAGAATGCAATATAAATAATGAAAATTAGAGAGCTTATTATGACAAAAAACAGTTAGATAGAGTTTGTTAAAATTAAAAGTTATAGTAAAAAAAGATGAAATAATAAAGTAGATAATTTAGCAAAAAAAGATGTTATGAGTAAAGAGATAATACAGGTTGAAAAAGTTAGTTGTGAAGAGATAAAGTACTGCTTAGAGTAGAAAAACAAATGTATTGACATACTAGCAAGACTACTATGCAAATTAATAACGAATGCAAGTTTAAGAGTAGAATAAAAAGAAATGAAAGTAATTAGGAGTCTAGAACCAAAAACAAAAATTATGATTTATAATTGGACATACTTTTGAAATAGACTAAAGATATCTAAAGGAGTACACTGCACAACAAGAAAAGATAGTATCAGAAGAAGTGCATTTATAAAGTGCATAATAGATAAACTTCCAACCCTAGAAGAACTTAACAAAAGAAAACCAAATATGTATATAATGATGAAATGCCAAGTATGTCAAGATAAAATAAAAGAAACACAGACACATTTGGCAACATATAAGAGACAAAGAAATCTGTGGAAAAGAATACAAAAAAATGATTATTGCAACAGCCTAAAAGAAGTTAAAGGAAGAAGAAAAACTTTGAGTTTTTTTATATATATTATATACAGTACTCTTCAGAAAAACAGAAGCAAAGAAAATTAAAATAAAGAGGTACTAATTAAAGGTTTCATTTCAAAAGAAACACAGAACAGATTGAGGCAGCTTCTAAGTACAAAATCAAGACAGCAGTTTATGAATACAATAGCAAGAACAGCTTGGAATACATTCTATAAACAAGTATGAAGAATTGATGTAAAAAGATTAATGAATGAAAGAAAAATAAAGGAATAACAGATAGAATAAAAAAAAAAAAAAAAAAAATATACCAAATAAAAAGAAAAGCCAAATTGGCAAGTCATAGAAGAAAGAAAAGAGAAAGCAAAAGAAAAAGAAAAACAAATTGAAAAAGAAGTACAGAAAATAATTTTAGAGCTTGTTATAAAAGTGAGAAAACCTTTTTATTATAGACTTTAAGTAGTTAGACGAGCAGCTTACTTCTGCTTGAAGTAATGCAGCAGGTTGCACTTAGGTACCATTAAGGTAGCCAAGTAATGCTAGGCTTAGTTGTTAGAAATATTTATGTAAATACCAATATAATTTCAAAATTTTAATAAAGCACTAGTATGACTGCTTAAGGAAAAATAAAAAATAAAAAAAATAAAGGCTCTCTTATTGAGAACACAACCAGTATATTTTTTTTTAGTTATAAAACAAATGTACTTAAGGAACACTCTGAGCCAAATATTATTATTGAGAAATTACAAGTAATAGTTTTCAACTTTATAAAAAAAAATAGAAAAGGTTAATAACTGAAAATGGCAGGTTTTTAATTATCACTAAAAAATTGATCATCAAAAATATAAAGAAAACAAACAAAATCAGCATGTGATCCCAGAACTAATACATATAATAAATGTGATAGTAAAGGTCATAATCATTGATGGCATGCAAAATATAAAAATAAAGTCTGTGATTTAACAATTATATATGAACTTTGTAGTAGGCATAGTTAAAAAAAAAGTTACAAATTGTAATCTTATAAAGGAGAATGAAAATGAATATATAGACTCAAGTGGTTTAGAATCAGGTTCTAAAATAGATATTATTAAATAATTGTTTAAATAATTTTTTTATATGAACTATCAAATTATTATTCTCTTGACAAATAACTCTTAATAAAGGTAATCTTCATTTATTTGAGTTATTCAAAATTTTTTACATGATATGCTTAAATTTTAAGTTAGTATTCAGGTTAGTATTAAGTAATATTTGTTAATTATATTATTTTTGTTAGTATTATTTGCAGTTTTACTTTATCTATCTCTCTAAATTATTAATGTCAACTCAGTTATTCAAAATACTAATTTTAAACTGCTAACTAGATAATAAATTCAATAAAAGTTAATATTTTAAAAAAAGGTTTGCTGAAATATGATTGACTCTTAATAACTATACTAGTTTAGAGATTTTTAGTAATAAGTATAACATATATGATTTTGTACTTTTAAAACAAGAATTAGGTTAGGTTTAAGTTTGAAATTATGCTAGATAATACTGTATATATGAAATTACTTCTTTATTAATTGCTAGGTGAATTTGTATTTTTTTGCTTCACTAGACTAATATATATATAAGTACTAAATTGAGTTATATAGTATAAAACAATCAAGAGGATGTGTTTGGTTAGGAGTTATTATAAACACTTTTAGTTAAAGACTTCTGGTATTGCTATCAAAAATTCTCTTATATGACCAATAACAAAATCATTTATGTTAGGTTAAGGTTAGAGTGAATGCCTAAGTTAGATAATTTATAGTAAAATTATTCAAAAAAAACATTTTGTTAGTTCACAAAAAATGGTTTCTTATATAAATAAGTAATTTTTAACAAAAAATGTTTGTTTTCCTAATTGTGTTATGTTATACCAAATTAAGATCATGGAATGGATTTTTGGTGATAATACTGGGGTAGTCCCCAGTAGGTACTCTTATGCAATGTTATCAATAGACAGTTTTGAACATGAGTTTGGACATTTTTGAACATTTTTAAACAAAAATATAAATTAAAATTACTTACAATTTTGTTAAGATAATTTATATACATTTCTAAGTAAAAAATATTAGAACCTAAAAAAATATATAATCATATATTTTTTAGACAAATTTATAATTATTAGAGCTTGGACATGCTTTGGACATTTTTGAACACTTGGATATTTGGATGTTGAACATGATCAAAAAAGCCTTGGACAGTGAAAAATGTACAACACTGCCCTTATGTTCAGAAAATCCCAGGCTGAAGATCCCAGGCTGAAGATCCCTTCCGACCCTATTCGGATCCAATAAAATCACAAGATCTTGTGTAACAATGCAAACTCAAAAAACATAAGAAATTGTAAAAAAACGTAAATAACACAAAAATTTACTATGATAACTAACCTTCCGACCTCTAAGTAAAAGTTTTCAGAATGAAATTTTACTTATAAAACACAATTGTTAATGTTAGATATATAGTGAATTTTTGAGATACTACGACCCATATTCTTTTGGCCAGCAGCTCGGAATTTTCTGAACATAAGAATATCCGTCCCCGGTTGAGATAAATGATTTGTAGTTACACAACCTGTAATGTCGCATTGCAATTCGTTTAATCACGTGATATGTGTTACAAAATTTTGATTGGCTAATTATAACCCCGCACATGGTGCAGGGTGCATCAAAAAATAATGCCCATAAAATAATATAGAACTTTATTTTTTCAAGTTTACTAAAATGCACCTATGGTGCTGAACACCGTAAGTGCTATTTCTCAAAACATAAAAGTAAACGGGATCGGGTACCCTAAGTAAAAATGTTTAGGACCCATGAAAACCTCACGAGAACTGAAATCGGGACCTTATATATAATCTACAGTATAATATCTAAAACTCTACTTTATTCTAAAACTGCACCTTAATTCTAAATTTTATTAATAAAATTTTATATGGTGTTCAACACCATAGGTGCATTTTATAATTTTTGTATTTTTTTATAATTAATTTAAAATACATTAAATAAAATATAAGTTCTATAAATTTTATAAATAACTTTTTTTTTTGAAAACTTTTATTAATAACTATTTTTGACCATGCTATTATAGCTTTGGTTACTTTATATTGTTAAATTTAGAATTCTAGTACTTACAAATTAAGTATTAATTATTGCTTTTATATGTTAAAGACTAAACAATCATTTTATTATAACACTGCTAATATATAATATCACTAACTTTTAAATAAACTAATAAAGTTTTATTTTGCTAAGCCTTTTTTAAACAAGTCAGTAATCTTTTTTTAATATAATTCGGATAATTATCTTTTAAATTATATTCACGACCATATTTTTTAATACAGTACATGAAAAAAATTTAGTGTTATTTATAGTAAATTTTTTTTTTTTTGTCGATTTTTTGGTCACATATTTTTCTTTTAAAAATCAAACTTTTGTTATATAAACTTTTCAGATAGATATATACTGTACATGTGCTGTCAATCTGATCGTCTGTCACATGATAATTGGTCTAGTATTATTAATCAGAGTTAGATTAGGGCACAGGTTCTTTTATCTTCATTTCAAATAATAATGACAAATAAAAAAAACAATATCGCATCGAGCTCCACAGATCCTATTGACTCACCACCACCTTACACACCTCTTCCTTCACAATCTCAAGAAGTTGAGCCAAATGAAACTACGCGTCTTTACCCAGATGTTCCAAAACATTCTTATTCTGCTACTCCAACTCCAGCTTATAACCCACCTCAACAACTTTCGGTCACAGCATATCATCAACCCGATACTGTTATTTTAAGCCCTGCAGTTTCTATTTTGGATTTACGTGCCGAACCAGCTGTTACTTGTTGTCCACATTGTAACCAAATTGTTTTGAGTAAGACAGGTTTTCGAGCTGGAACTTGCACTTGGTTGTCATCTCTTGGATTATTTGCAATTGGAGTAACGATGTGGGGATGTTGTTTGTTTCCCTTTTGTGTAAGTATAGATCTCGTAAATTATAGAATAATTGTATTGTATGGTCGGTCTATAATATTATTAAAAATTTTTTTCCTATTTCACAGATCAATGACTTGAAAGATTGCATTCATTCATGTCCTAATTGTGATAATGTTATGGCTAGATATTCAAGATTTGAAGGAAGAACATATAAGTACGGAGAATAAATAACTTTTATGTATGAATCATGTTGAAAGTACCAAAGAAACAAAAAAAAACAATAATAACGATAAACAATTTCGATATGATATTTTTTAAGCACCATATATATATCTAGATATATATATATATATATATATGTTTTGATTAATATATACAAACACCTATATGTATAATTCAAAAAGAACAAAAAAATAAATAAAATGTATGAACTTTGCATAATATACATATAAAATTTTAAAATTGATACGTACGTAGAATTGATCTTATAACATAAATGACAAGTCGATCTCTAATGCATATATCGATAAATAAATAAAATATCGGACATTTTACGGTTAATTTTAAATTTTAACTCTAACAATGTTCCGAATTTCAGTTGCGCTTTCCAATTTGAAAAATTTTAAAACTCCTATGCGAAAAGCAAAGCTTTTCAGAAGCATGTCAGCCAAAACTTCAGGTAAAGACTTTGAAACGCTCAAAAAAAAAAAAAAAAAAAAAAATATTTATGAGGCGCGTTTTTTTGGTCAGTTAAGTATAACTGGGAGGATCCTCTCTCTCTTGAATCACAACTGACTGAAGAAGAAATTGCTATCAGGTATACATATATATATATATGTTTTGTCATTTGTAAAATTTCTCCAGTGCATGTTAATTAAATTTATCAGAATGAATTAGGGATTCTGCACGTCATTATTGTCAAGAAAAGTTATTTCCAAGAATTTTGGAAGCTTATCGCCAAGAAAGTATGTCAATTTTTTTTGAAAATTTCATTATTAAACAGAGTATTAAACAGATTATTAAACGGATTATTAAACAGATTATTAAATAGATTATTAAATAGATTATTTACCATCATCTTTTATACCTTTAGAATTTGATCGTGAAATTGTTACAGAAATGGGCGAATTAGGTTTACTTGGTTCTACTATTCAAGGATATGGTTGCTCAGGTGTTTCTTCGGTAGCATATGGACTTATTGCTCGTGAAGTAGAAAGGTTTTAAAATTTTTTGATTTCATTATTTATTTTATTTTTTGATTTCATTATTTATTTTATTTTAAAGATGACACGTTTAATTAGTTTTTTTTTATTACTTTTCCAGAGTAGATAGCGGTTACCGATCTGCAATGAGTGTGCAATCATCACTTGTTATGCACCCTATATACGCTTTTGGTAGCGAAGAACAAAAGCAAAAGTATTTACCTAGATTAGGTATATTTCATGTATACAATGTCTAAATTTCAATTAATCCTCAATTCTAATTTTTTAATTACAGAAACATTATTTACCTTTAATAGCAAAAGGAGAAATTGTTGGTGCTTTTGGGTTAACGGAACCTAATTATGGTTCTGATGTTGGTGGTATGCAATCTTATTCAGAAAAAAAAAATGGAAGTTATATATTACATGGATCAAAAACTTGGATTACCAACTCTCCAATAGCGGATATATTTATTATTTGGGCAAAGTCCAAAGAAGATCATAAAGTGCGAGGGTTTATTTTGGAAAAGGTACACATGCAAGCAACTGAATATCGTGTAAAATAAAAATATTAAAAATATTAAAGTTGACAATTTTTTATAATATAAACAAAGGGTATGGAAGGATTAACTACGGCAACAATTAAAGGTAAATTATCACTTCGGGCTTCAGTAACTGGAATGATCATGATGGATAACGTAGAAGTTCCTGAAGAAAATTTACTTCCACATACAGAAGGTTTAAAGGTAATAACATTCCTTTATTATTATATTTATCATCTATTTTGAGATTTGACTCACTTTTATTAACTAGGGGCCCTTTAGTTGTCTTAACAATGCACGACTTGGAATTGCATGGGGTGTACTTGGAGCTTCAGAATTTTGTTTAGCTCAAGCTCGTGAGTATGCCCTTAACCGAAATCAATTTGGTGTTCCGTTGGCAAGGTTTCAATTGATTCAAAAGAAATTTGCCGATGCACATACGGAAGTAAGTAGTGTGTATACAGTCGGCCTCCCATACAATCACACAGTTGGGCACATAGTAAATTTTTTTAATATCAATCATAGTTTGGCCTATGATGTGATTATATGGGAGGTGACTATATGGAGGGACGACTGTAATTCTTTTTGTTTTTTGGACATACTTAAACCTAATGATTTTATTTCAGATTGCTATCGGTCTTCAGGCTTGTCTTCAGGTAGGAAGGTTAAAAGATTTGGGTAAATCTGCACCTGAAATGATTTCACTTGTAAAGCGTAATTCCTGCGGAAAAGCTTTAGAAATTGCACGTTCCATGCGAGATGTTCTAGGAGGTAATGGAATAAGCGATGAATATCATGTAATTAGACATGAACAAAATTTATGTACAACCAATACTTATGAAGGTATTTATTGAGATATATATGTCTTGTAGACATATTTCAATACTAATTAACTTATATTCATTTCAGGCACATATGATATTCATACCCTTATATTGGGTAGAGCTATCACCGGAATTCAATCATTTACAGCATCTTAAGAACGAAAAAAAAAAGTCATTCACATATTAAATGATAGTTCCAAAATTATAATTTAATATATATGGTTAAAAGTAAACAGTTTACATATATATGCTTGCCAGCAAAACCGGACAAATCCCAAACACTATTTGTAAAAATTAAAAACAAAATTTTTTTTTTTTTTAATGTGCAAATATATTCTTCATTAGAATATATTATATCAATTTTGTTCAAATAAAGATTATTATAAAGTGATGATTTTTTTTTTAAGATATTAATTTTGAATTTGGGGAGTGAACAAATCCAAACCATAATATTTTTGGGATTGGGCGACAAGTATATTTACATATATATATGTACATGAGACGCAGTAAAAATATAATTCAAATAAAATTTTATACATCTATTCATCATCAGGTTCGCATTGGGGTATCCGAGAGTAGCCACTATAGCACTTAAAGCCTTTAAATGGATTATATTTAAACGGATTTCCTAAGAATACGAATGGAGAGATCGTCAAAGTCATTGCTGAAAACGCACATAATGTACCAAAAAATCCGAAATGTTCCATTAAAACACCAGCAACGGCTGGCCCTATAAACATTCCAATACTATATGCCATATTCCAAAGTCCGTAAACTTGACCATAAGCACCACCACCTTTTTCTCTAACTCTTTCTCCTAACATTGGTAGTGATGGAGTGGAAATAATAGCATAAGTCGCACCGAAAAACAATAACGGAACAACTTCTAACCATAAGTTGTCCGGTAAGGCAATGAGCGGTAAAGCGACGCTTATCCATATTACACCAATGCCACACATTATTCGCTGACCAATTCGATATGATAACCAACCAACGATTGGTGAAGCAAAAGTTGGGAGCACTACAGTGATATAAACGAGACCGATTTCTGATGGGTTTGCGCCAAATTCTTGGCGAAGGTATATCGGGAGGGTAGGCTCGATGGCTAAATAAAGTTACAAAGGAAGAAATGATAATTAATAATTTAAGTATTCGTTTTGATTATTTTGATTGAAAAATTTGATAACATAGATATATAAAATTTTGAATTATATAACATACCTGAAAAAACACTAGCTACAATTGTGAGCGTCAAACAAATCGAGATAATCTCCCAGTCTTTTGCTAAATTCCAGATTGAAAGAGGATTATTACAGTCGGGATCTACTTCACAATAATCTGGAGGGTCATCAGAGTTTCCATCACGTCTACTTATTGCCAAATCCCATTCTTTCAAATTAATCGGATCAACGATGGTACATGCAGATACGAATCCAATGAAAGATAGTATGACGCAGAAAATAAAAGGTGAAGTGTATCCCCAATATTGATATAGAACACCACCAATTACGGGCCCAGCAATGAACCCTAAAGTGTTGGCCGATAGAACAGTTCCCATAACGATTCCAAGTTTGGGACCGGTTCCAAATCGATCAGCCAGCATGGCCAAAGTAACGGTCCTATATTATAAATAATGTAAATAAGTGTGAAATAAATTAAAATTTAAGCAAGTTACAAACCAGGATGCTCCTCCTGCAGCACCTTGGGCAATTCTTGCCACCATCAACTGCCAATAACTGTTGGCAATACCGAATAAAAGTGTGCAAGTTCCCAGACCCGCCATACCAATCATCATTGGTAACTGTCAAAAAAGATAAAAATAAACGAATTAATTGGACATTTCAAAATTAACTTCAAAATTAATATTAGGAAATTTATTATAATTACTTTGCGGGTGTGGTATTTATCACTTATCACGGCACAAATTGGTGTGGAGACCAAAAGGCCGAGAGCTATAATAATTTTTTTTAAAAAAAAGGTTGTTTAAAGAATTCGATAAAAGTGTAATTGAAGAATTCGAGATAAGTATTCGTACCGTAACACCCAAAGAGTATCCCAGTTGACATTGAATCCATCCCCAGACGCTCCTGAACGATTAAGGGGAGAATAGGGACTATAATACCATATACAATCATATCGCTATTAAGAAGTTTTTTGTATTAATTAGTAAAATAATATATCTAAATTATTTAATTTGTAGAATTTTTTTAAAAAACGAAACTTACGTAAAGAGAGCAATTGAAGCGACACATAATACTGCGGCCTTTGACCTTCGAAAGGTGGCAAACCAGCCATACTTTGAAAAATCAAATTCAGGCTCTTCACCTTCTCCTGTTATCAATGGCGTTACTTCTATGAGATAACCTTCGTGCGTGGACATCAATCACAAAATAAAATCACGGTAGAAAACAGGTTTTTTTCGAGAAGCTCAATAAACGGAAACTCTCGCTCTGACAAAAATAAAAAAAATAAAATAAACCTTGTGAATTAAGATATTCTATGTTCTACAGAGAAAAATCCATTTTAATTAATTCCTTTTATAACATTTAGTAATCTATGATATTCAATTTTGACAATTTCGACGCGTATGAAAATCCTTTTTGTGGTAATGAATCAGGCCTTACATACATGGTTATGTTGTCAGATTTAAAGTTAAGTTGTTAGAAATTTTTTTGATTTTTAAAAAACATAACTATATGCATTTCAATGTTAATCCCTCGTTACACGGATCAGATTCCGATTTATGATAAAGCAGAATTAGATTTATTAGGATTTAATTACGCTTCTATTGTACTTTATAAAAACCAGTTTAACATAAGTTACGGCACTTATAAAGATAAATAATTACTGGTACACTTTTAAGTAATTCTTAACGGTGATACTTAATCAGCAGTCCCATTAACAACCATACATGGAGTGAATCCCGAAGTAATTAAGAGGGGCATTGACCATTAGGGATGTTAATGCTTCCTATTAAAATAAAGACAAACTGGCCCGACGATTAATCTACATGCAGTATCAGCATTAGTACATCCAATCAAATTTTTAGATTAAGCATAATGCAACAAAGCGACTTTTTATAAATTCGCCTTTAACAACTATGAAACTGTTGCTGCGCACTAATTAAAGATGTTCCTTATGGAATTTTACTACAGAAATGAACGTCACGAATAATAAATCTAAGTCTAATATATCAGGTCACAATTTGTTTTATCGACTGTACTGTTATTTGCTGAATAATCCTGATTAGCCATTTTTATCGTTATATCAGATATTCTTTCCGCCATTAGCGTACAACCAATACTCTTTATGGTTTTGATAATTTCTATCGTTATATCGATATCTCGATATGGTTATCATCTTTTCACCACCAATTATAATTTAACTTTGCTTCAAATAACTATCAATTATTTCGGTTCAATATTGTCAGAACCTCTTCTGATAAAAGTTGGTAGAACATTTGATCCCATTCGATCTTAAACGTTTATACTTAGGTTCAAAGTATGTATATGGATTTGTTCTATTTTTGAGTCAATTCTACGTATTGTAAAACAATATAAAAAGTATAGGAATAAGCGGCTAATAAAAACAAACTTCCGCCATGTTACTTAGGAATTATATCTCAACCTATAAGATGGCAGTCAAATGTCATTTATGAACTTTAAACGTGTACGAAGAGTTTTGTACTTTTACACCAGATTGGCTGTTTTGGAGACATTTGTCAGTTATAATGAAATCTAAATAATCTGTATAACAGAATTGGTCAGCAATATGATCCCATGTGATTAACCACTGCATTTCTATTTGTAATTGGGCGTAACTTAATGACTTGAGATGCATCAAGCAATCTCATAACATCCTCCCTTCCTATCCTATTATAAAGTTTTATAACATACCCGGTGGTGTCTCCTGTGTAAAAAGATTTTTCATATGAAAAGTCACTTAGTTTAGTACCATACAAATTCACCTGTAAAGTGTATCATACTTGGGTGCTATGGTCCGTTCTGCATGGTAGAATTGCCCACTGAAAATTTCAAACATGTTGGTCAAGTAGAATCAATTTAATTAACGTTAATAATAATTGATTTTATTAATGGGGACTCCTATATTATATTTGATCCTATTGGTAAACCCCTTTTTTTCGAGTTAACTTTTTTATAAGAACTGATCTAAATTTAAACAATTACAATAATACAGAAGATATAAAAATATTTTAAGTAATCCGCAAAGAATTATCTTTAAACACAAATTGATATCGATTTTTCATATTCCCCGGTTGGGGGCAATTTTTCCGATATTATTTGTAGCTTTATGCAGGAATTTGGATTTTAAAACAATCATCAAGTATATATTATCGTTATTTCGGAGCTATCGCTATGCCTTGCATTCAAAAATCCTGTATCAGGTTTTATGGCACAGATTTCTAATCCACAAAGCAGAAAATTCCTAACTATAGATGCTGGTAAAACTGATGTAATCCTTGGCAAATAGAGTTCCAGTATATCTTCATACTATCTGATTATCCATCCAATTAAATCGGATAAATCGGATATTCATACAAATTCAGAAAACTTTTTTTGTATATTTTTATATACTTCTTGTATAATTATTTATAATAATTGTTTTAAGAACATTACAGAAGAGTAATAGTGATTCTAGAATCCCTAATAGAGGTGGAATTATTAAACCAAACAAATAGGTTTAAATTTTTGTTAAATGTTAAATATTATTAAAAAGTTTTTTAAATAAAACCAAAAAAACAGAAATGAACAAACACATGCAGGTTACTAAATTAAAAACAATGAATAAGTGCTTAATAGAAGTAAATATTAGAATATTTTAAAAATATATATATATAAATAGAAATAAATCTATCAAAAAAATATAAAGTTTTTAACAACTTTTATAAGAAAAACATATTGGGCAATAAATAGCATATATAACAAAATATTTTTCAATAAATACACAGATCAAATACATGAATAATGATAAAATAATAGCATATACTTATATAGTTCTATTAGCTTTCTGATATGTATACTAGATAGTAAACTAATAACTATGTATTTATATTATAGAAAGATAAAATGTAGATATCAGATATATAATAATATATTTTTAGTTCTTAAAACAAAATATAAGCATACAAAAAATATAAAAAATATATACATTTTTTTCTTTTATTATTCTGATATTTATTTTACATGTTAGTAACATTATAATAAGATAAAAATATATATAAAAATATATATTGATATATTTTTTTTCTAATATTTATTTAACAATTTTATTTTATTTTTTTTTAATTTTTTTAAATGTTAAGATGAGTACTTGTGACCTAGGATTTTACTAATAGTATAAGTTGGCCAGCATCTGTACATGTACAGACACAAAGGCAATTACAAAAAGAGTGTACAACTAGCCACTTGTACAACTTTAGTCATTGTTTAATTTAAGTAGTCCACCCAAAAGTTCTATACTAGTTGCTATACCTAGAACCCACCTGTAGATCCTCTATTTAAACACTCTGATCCTGCATCCACCACACCCTATCAGTGACTCTGGTAAACTGATGAAGATATGTCATGGTTACTAAGTTATATTTAGCTTTGTACTAAACCTACCAGTGCATTTTGTATCCTATACTTACAGCTTATCTGGTCATGCTTTGGCCTAAACCATCACTTGTAGTCAGGGCTAACCATTAAACTGCTTTTACCCTTGTAAGGTTCACTCAAAACTCTGGTACCTATCTTTCTGATGTCCTCTCTATCATCTTCTACTAACTGCTACTCAGGACTGACAGGACTTCCCAGACTTCTAATCCAGATGGCCCAATATAATATACCTTAGTATCCTTTTCCTCTGACAATTTCGTCAGTCTGGTTAGTTATGTGCTTCTTTACACATCTTGCTATCCAGTTTATCTGCTTATCTCTTTGGGAGTGTTTTATAAGCTTCCATCAGTCTGACAGCACCATCAAAAGTTTTGTGCTATCTCCTTATTCAGGATTTCCAAATGGGTTTTCAACTCTTTGATTCCTTTGCTTTCCATGCCTGGTAGTCTTATCGTGGATTTGCATTGAAGTCTTATGCGATATCGTTATTAACATTTCTCTATGTGGATGTACCATTACACTTAGTATAGATGCTCCAAGCTCCCATTCGAGATTATGCAACAAAGATTACAGATACACCAATCCAACCGATCAACAGAGACAGTTACTGTAACACAGACCTATTTTTCAAAATTCATTGTCTATGGAATTTGACTCTAGACCTGCTACTTGGGAGTTGACAACCTGACCACTTCACTAGGTCGTCACACTCTATTTAACAATTTTATAGCATAATAATAAAATAAAAATATATATAAAGTTATATATTCTAAGGTTCAAATCCCATCTATGATGAAATTTGGAAATTATATCTGTTTTATGATAACTGTCTTCTGTCAATCAATTGGCCTTATATGGTTGTAACCCAGATACACCAAGTTAGGTCTTACTGACATTAGGAGCTCAGAACATCTATATAAAGTATAATGTTACATATACATAGAGGAATGTATAACTGGTGTTGTATAAAACTTTAGTGTAAACTTATGATAAGACCATTGAGTATAGAAGACTAAAAAACTGAGATAACAGAAACCCACTTAGAAATTCCTGAGTAAAAAGATAGCATGAACTTTTGATGATATTATTGGACTGGTTGAAATTCGTAAAACATTTTTATAAAAACTGAAGACTAAACAGATGCCAAATATATGTAAAGGAGTATATAACCAACTAAGTTACCAGACTTGTTAAAGAAAAAAGATACAGAAGTATACTATACTGGACCATCTGAATTGATAGCCTGAAAGAGACTGCTGGTTCCGAATTGTAGCTAATAGAGGATGATGAAGAAAATGCCAGAAGGATAAGTACTAAGATTCTAGTAAACTTTACAAGAATAGAAATAGTATACTGTAGCAGTTAAATAGATAACTTCTGTAACTGTAAGTGTTAGGTAACTATAGTATATTGCATAAAACTAGGTCAATATATGTGAGACATAAAGGCTTTAGTAAGTCTTTTGTTAAGAATAAAGTAGTCCTAAAAGTACTGATTAGTATTAGGAACTTGAATAGTATAGCCTTAATGATGTTTTTATGATACAAGATAGATTGTATATGCAGAATGTTTAAATAGGCAAGACCTCTAGTTGGCTTGCAAGTATAACATTTAGTGTAGAACTTATATAGTAATATATAAGTAAATTACTTAAATTAGACACCAAAAGTGCATATATTGCTAGTTGTAACCTCTATTATAAGGTAAGCCCATACTTGAATAAACATGTTACATCTTGAAGATAAGGACTTTAATTTAAAAAAAAAATAAAATAAAATAATTTAAGTTATATATTAATATATATATTTTCTTTTATTTTTTAAATATTTATTTTACAAGTTTTTAATATTATAAAATACACACTCTTTTTAACAATCATTAAAAAACAAATAAAATAGAAAGAAAAATTTAAAATATAGTAGATAAAGCTTAAATAATTAAATAATATACAAAGAAACAATTACAAACACAAAAGACAAACTCTTACAGCAACATCAATTACTATAATAACTAACAAAACAAGCATTAAAGCTAATAAAATCAAAAACCAGTCCTCTGAGAACTTGGTAAAAGTCAACTTGTTTCAAGAACAAGAAATAGAATATATACTTATATATGTACTAAAAAGCAATAAGCAAAATATAGATGTTCATGTAATAAAGCAAAACAATAATAATATAGAAACAACCTATATTTAATCAAAAAGAAAATATTTCAACCCTCTATACTCTTCTAAACATCATACAAAAAATTTAAAAAGTAGACAAAACAGCTTATCTTTAACAAAATATATAATGACATCATATGGGTCAGTCTGTACCATTATAGGGCTTCAGGACTTTTTAATCAAATCTTGATAATTTATTGCATTATATTTCTTAACAAATGTTCTATTCATAGTATAACTTTTTTTGCATAATATCATAATACGATTTGTCATAATTTTCAATAAAAGTCTTTTACTTATAGATAGTTTTTTGTTCTAAATTTAAAATCTTGCATACTAATGCAAGATAATAATCATTTATATAGTATATATTTCTGTATCATGAGACCCAAGTCAAATTAAATTATTAAAGCTTATTAAAGCTTATTATAATTTAAGTTCACTAAAAAATAATTTATTTTACATTTATCAATAAACAAAAAAAAAATTTGGTAACTAATCTTTAAGAACAAATTTACTAAAAATTTTATTGTATAAAAGATTGATTTACCAATTGCAAAATAACATATTGTTTTCAAATTTATGATGCAAGTCAATTAATAATCAATATAAATCACAGAATGTTTATAGTATACAGTATTATTGCTTACTTGAAGCAAAACATAATTCATCTTTATGAAGATCATAAATGTATAGATGTATATCTTTGAATAGTTATGTCTGACATTTTGTAGATAAAGGTTTTAAAAGAATTATATCTAAAAGTTGGTAAGGATTAAAATAAACATTATTATGAATAATAGATTCTTTCTTTAAACCATCAGCTTCTAATGACATAAAAACTTTTTCAGAATAATTATAATAAAAATAAAAATGCTGATATGCATGTATACCATTATTTTTACAAAATAAGCTTCTAAAAAACTTTCAAAATTATAATAATTCCATCCTATTTGATCTTTATCATTATACTTAACTGCTATATTACTTCTATTCTTTTTTGATTGATTAATAATAGTTTCAATATGATCTATACTTATGATATTAAATTTATAATAAACAGATTTGATTATTTCAAAATGTGAATCACAAATAAACTTTGTATATCTAGGAATCATAAAATTTAATTCAATTGTATCAAATTGTTTAATAAGAATAAGCTATAAATAAAACCAAAGTATAAGATTATTTTTATTTTGGCCTCTGCAATTATCACATGTTACTTTTAGATTTTTTTGTATTGGATTCCAATTATATAAACTGTCATATACAAGATTAAGAATAATGTTAGCACCTTTAGGCATTTTTATTGGAAATTGATGCTTACTGATCATATAATTTCATTGTATTGTAGGTTCAAATCCAGTATTAGCAACTCCAAAAATATGAACATTAAATGGTGATTTAAAAAATAATCTACCAGGTTGTCATGATAAATAAGAAATTTGAACATTTTGAGCCCAATCATAGCAAATATAAATAAATTCAGATTTTAATTGTCTGCTAATTATAATATTTTCATTATAGTGTTGATGTTCAATCATTGCAACTGTATGATGACGTTCAAATTCAGTACAAAGATTTTGTTTAGTTTCAATATTGCTAGTAGCCTGAATTTTAGCATGAAGCTGTTCACATTTGTCACACAAGTCAGATGTTTTTGACATTAACTGTATTTCTAGTGCTATTTCTTTCCAAACTTGAAGAAATGTTTTATAACTTATAATCTTGTAATTATTATCTTTTATTGATTGAATATAATTTACATATTCTTCATAAACATTATAATATGTTGTACTAGCTGAAAGTAAAATAACTGGCATAACATTTTGTTACATATGTCAACCTGGTGATGGAAATCCATGAATATTCACATAGTTGTGAATAAAATTATTAACCTCTTGTAATATTTTTTCATTAATAGTTGCATGATTAGATTGAATAAAAGTACATTCTATATTACTATGAACCATTTCTTCTGTACTATTATTTTTAATATATGATTTAATTTGGTCAAGACGACTTGAAGAAACTACAGTTAATACTATATAAGTAGGTAAACATACTATATGTTAAGCGTCATAACAATATTGATAAGTGATATGATTATGCAATTGTTAACTAGATTTTTTTTGTTTTTTGGCAATTTACTGAATGCAAATGATAAAGTTGTCCTTTAATCCAGTTATCTAAACTATCATGCAATATATTATAACACATTTCTTGTTGTTTAAAAAATTTACAAAATCTGATCTTTTTATAACAAGTTTTGTTATCTTTGTTTCAACATGTACACTCTTTTTGCTACCAAAATTCCCACAATTCCTAAACATTTTGATGAATAATATTATTGGTTTCATCATATTCATCTATTCCTAATTCAACAAATGGAAGTGCAATGTTGTATATATCTTCTTGTTCTATGTCATTAATAACTTCCATTATGGATTTTCGAAATTAATTAAAAAAAAAAAGAACAAGCAAATTATATATAATTTTATTAACATATTTTAATACACACTTTGTCAATAATATGGTTTATAATAATAATTTTATTCGCAACTTTAAATTAGATTATATATACAATAGGTCGAATACTAAATATGTTATTTAGGTGGACTTTATATACAATTTAGATAGATTAGTATTAGTATGATATAGATGTAGTATTCTTGCATGTGTATTTAAAATAAATTATTTTGGAACAACTCTTTCCGCTGATCTGCAGTACCAAAATCGGCACTAAACAAAATACAAACAAATCTCAAAATCAAGACTAAGAAACAATATTAACACTCTTAAGAACAAGGACTCAGCATTCCAAAAGACATATACTTAAATAAAACCAAATCTTTATTAACTTGAATGTTCAGTTCTTTTTGCAGGTCTTTAAAAATTTTCAACAAAATTTTGTACAAATTGTAGAGAATTGACTTGACCCCGAAAGCAAAAGTACACAACATGTGACTAGTAAACAACAACAAACAAACAAACAAACACGTCTCATTTTAGAAAAGGCGATAGCTACATAACAATAACAACAAACATAAGATCACATGTTAAATCAGATAAGGAAACAGGCTTAGAATAAGTATTAGACAAACAAAAACCAATTATATTAGTTATATTAGATAAGATGAAAGAATTACACAATCAAGGATGTTATTTTGCATCAGCGGACTAGGTGCTAGAAATTTAAGGTTTATGAACAATGAGATATTAACAGAAGAACTAAGAGCAACAATGCCTCATGTTCCAAATGATAACGAACATGTAGCCAAAAGTCTAGCAATAGTAGATCCTGATAAGATCACAGCAATGGACCTTTTAATTTATGGACAAATACTAAGTTTACTAAGACAAAGAGAGGGTAGAGTTCCAAACAACACCCTAATCAAAGAATAGGTAGCTAAAGCCAGAATGACTTATTTTTTTTTTTTTTTTGGTGTTAAGGTGAGGCCTTGCTCATATCTTTATTAGTAATTTTAGTTGTACATATTAATATACTATATATTAAGAATATACTAAGATTGTAAAATACAAAATAAAAACTACATGCAAGAATTAAAGCTCAGACGACATTATCTGCAACCTAAACTGAGCCAGAATGACTTATGAAAACTCAGAAATAGTAAACTACATAACAAATATGAATAACGAGCAAATACAAGAAGAAACAAACAAGATGGAGGGTATAGAAAAGAAAAGCAAAGTAGAAAGGCCTCAGGAGATAGTTACAAAAAAACGGCGACAAGAAGAAGAGAATCAAGCTGAAGACCCAAGACCTTATGAATCAGCTGAGCTAATTAAAAACATTATGCACATAGAGGGAAAAAATCAGTTTGATAGAGAAACAATAAACCAAATACCAGTAACAGCTCTCTCCGAAACACCTAAAAAAGAAAATATAAATAAAACAAAACTCAAAAACAAGAAGTTCAAAGAAGATCAAGAAATTTCTCTCGAAGATATACTCGATGATAGTAAAAAAATATATGAAAAAGAAGCTTAAAAGGAAATTCAAGAGCAAAAAGAAAAAGAAAAAGAAAGCATTAGAGCTCTAGAAAATCAAATCGTGGCAATACCATTGGAAGATAGCTTGTAGTCACCTGAAAATAGAGCATGTGATCACAAAAATTCATTTAGAGCAAATATTCCAGCATACAATCTACCAGGAGATAACAAAACTGAAAGAGTAAATTATCTAAAATGGGTGCTAAGAGACAACAAGCATATCAAATTGATTAGAGAGGAATTCAAAAGAGGGAACAACTGGATAGTAATTAACTTTGATTGTGAGTTTGGCAGAAACACAGCAATCGAAAAAGTTAAAAGAAAAGAAGGTGATTGGCTAGTTATGATCCCAGATGAAGAAGTAAAAGATTCTGCAGAAGTAGATCATAAACAACCCAAGAAGCACAAAAAAGAATCTAAACAAACAAGTTCAAATAATATAGAAAAGGAAATCACAAATAAAGAAGAAGAAGAAATCATGACAAAACAGAAAATTCTGACAATTTGGGATTTACCTCCAGATGTCAACGAGAAAGAAATAAGACACATATGCAGAAGGTTCTAGGATTTACACATAATATGAGTAAAGAGAATGCAATATAAGGTGTTAGCAGTAATTAAAATAAGTATTAAGGAAAAAAAAAATATGCCCTGGTCCTTGCCTTTAGGGAACAACAAGCTCACAAGAATAACTGAAGGAGATGAAGACTATAATCAAAGAGATAAACAGTGTCAATTTACAGCAAAACTGTTGGATATATCTAAAGGAGCTTCAGAGGTCTTACTCTTACGATGCTTAAAGAACAAGGGAGCGAAAGCTGTATATATTCCAGCAAACAGAAATGGAAACAAAAAAAGTTTGCAATAATAACATTTGCAAGTGTTGAAGAAATGAATCTAGCTCAAACCAAACCAATATGGTATAACAACCATCGAGTAATTTGGGAGAACTATCAAAGGAAAGATCCAAAAAGAAATGAAGTATCAAGAGAAAGAAAACGATCAGTCTCAGAGTCAAGAAAGAGAAGACAAACAATCTCAGAATCAAAAGAAACAATACAGCGAATAGCAGAATATAACAATGCAAGCAGAGAGCAGTTTTTGGAAAATCAAGCAGAATATTTAACAGAAAACATAGCAGAAGAAGGAAGCTCAGAGAAGAGAAAAAGCAAACTCAAAGCCCAAACTAAAGAAAAAGCTCTAAACACAGAAGACATTCTAATAAAGATTTTGAATAGGCTAGAAAAGTTAGAAGAAGCAAGAGGAACAATAATAGAGGGTCCCACAAACCACTTTTAAAAATCGCCACAGTTGAATTAAAGAGATCAGATGTAGAGATAATCTCCCTTTTGCAAGACCAGAAACACAAACAGAAGACCAAACAAACAAAATCTTTACAAACTGATAATAGTAGTAAAAAAGTTGAAAGGAAGAGGAAAAACATAATAGAAAATGAGGAAAAAACATTTATAGAAAAAATCTATACTAGGAACAGTATAGAATTAAACTTGGCGACACATAACATTAATGGTTTAAAAAGCAATAATCAAAAAATAGAGGCATTATATACATGGGCATTAGACAACAATATTGATATAGTAGGGCTGGCAGAAACGAACATTACTGCTAGAGAAGGTAGTTTTCTAACAAAAGACTGTGTCGAGTATAAAAGTTTTTGGGCAAGTGCAAATTTAAGCAAGAAAAAAGGGTCAGGTGTAGGATTTCTAATTAGCAAACAATGGGAAAAACACTTAGGCCAAGTAGATAGAATAAGTGAATATATGATTTCAGCAAACTTTATGTTCAAACAAGCAGAAATTCTAGTTATTATGATATACGCACCCTCTAACAACAAAGAAGAAAGATTAGATATACAAAAAACACTAATAGAAAAATACATGAAACGCACAGCAAGAACTCAGTTAGTGGTAATGGGTAACCTAAACTGCATAGTAGATATAAAATTAGATAAACTGCAGAAGATGAAACAAAAACCTAAAAAGCAAGACCCGCTTATTAAATGGTTAGCGAGACAGGAGTTTCAGAATACCTATAGAACAATTAATCCAAATGAGAAAAAATTCTCATGGTCAGGCAAAGAACAAAAGACAAGAATAGATTATATATGGGTTACAGAAGGGCTCGCCAATGGGCTATTGGATGCAGAAATTCAAGAAATGGATATTTGGACAAATAGCGATCATGGTGCAATTGTGACAAGAATGGACTTAAACCATCTTATTGCAATATATAGAAAAGCAGAAATCAAAAAAGAAAATTTTCAAAAAACAGTACTGCTATTCAACAAAGCAACAAAAGAAAATTGGGACAACTACAGAAAAGAACTCGAAGCTCAACTAAAAAAGAAAATTACATTACCAGAACTACAGCAAGTCTCAGTAAAAGGTCTGTTCAATGAGAAAGATACAAGACTAGACAAATGGTAGGACATTATAAGTAATGTAATATGGGTAATAGCAAAGAAAATGTTACCTAAAAAACAAGTTCTAAACACAACTGCAAACAAGAAAAAGGGGGTGAGAGAATCAAAACTAGGAAAAACACTTACACAATTAGAAAGATGGATTAGCCTAGGAAGAAAGAACATTGAAATAAGGTGGTTAAAAGAGAACATAGAAGAACTCAATGAAGAAATTAAGTATATTAACCAGCAGCATAATGTATATATAGAAAAAGCACAAGAACATTGGTCTAAGGAACTAATAACTGATCTCAAGGGCTGGTGGCAAATTCTCTACACAAGGTGAGCATATGAAATCCAAAGACTCAAAAGAAAAGAAATTGAAGAAAACATTAAAAAAAGATGTGCAAAAATAAATAGAGAGCAAGGAAAAATGCTAGCAAGTCTTTTGGACAAACCATATAACAAAATCCAAATCGATAGGCTGCTTAAAGAAAAAGAAGAAGATAATTCAAGACAATTAATTACAAAGCCACTAGAGGTATTAAAAGAGACACAAAAGCATTACCAAAATCAATTCAGACCTAGGAAAGTTAAATATGAAATATTCGAGAAGAATTGGAAAGAAATCTATAAACCAAAGGAATCGATTCAAGCAAATTGGTACAGCGAAGTGAATCAGAATATCTCAGAAGAAGAGTGGATGGAAATGCTAGCAGAACTTAAAAAAGTTACAGCTTCAGGAATATTAGGAATTACATATACTTTGATTCAAGCAGCAGGACCCAAAGTTCAAGATCTTTTTAGAACTTTTGCAGAGATATGCATTAAAACAGGAAAAGTACCAGCAAAGTGGAAAGTCTCACAAATATATTCTATACCGAAAGAAACAGATTGGCAATACAATTTAAGCAATGTAAGACCGATTGCATTGCTTGAAACTTTTCGAAAGTGCATAACAAAAGTCTTAACTAAAAGATTGACGAGTGTGTTCTGCAAGAAAAGTATTTTGGAAGGCCCAAATTTTGCAGGCCTACCAGGAAACTCAACAGAGGAGCCTGTTCATATTATGAACATGATAATGGAAGATGCAAAAGATAACAATAAGGAGCTCTGGTTGGTTTTCCAAGACATGAAAAAGGCATTCGATTCAGTATCACTCACAACATTAAAACTGGCAATGAAAAGAATTAAACTACCAAAAACAACAACCAAGCTAATTCTAAACTTGTTTACAAATAGAGAATCAAAGATCATTACACATTGGGGGCACACAGAGGCATTTCAAATCCAGGATGGAATAGAACAGGGTGAGGTCTTGTCACCTCTAGTATGGAGAATATTTTATGATCCACTATTAGAGCGTGTACAGAAGGATACTAGTCTAAGATATACAGTATCAGTAAGGTTATCGTATAACCCAAAACTTAATCATACAACAGAGATGAAATGGAGACAAGCCATAGTAGCATTTGCAGATGATACAACCTGGATAGCAGAAAGTAAAGAGCAGATGGAACGAACAATCAAAATTGCAGAAGAGTTCTTCAAGTTTAATAATATACAAATAAATGGAAAAAAATCCAAATTACTAATTATGAACTCGAAAAAGAATAAGGAAAACAAAAGAATTAAACTTGGTAATGAATGGATATATGAAGAAGACCAAAATAAAATAACAAGATTCCTTGGAATTTGGCTAAACAACAGACTAAAAGAAACAATAGTGAAAGCAAAAGCAAGGGAATTGGTATGATCAACTATGGAAGGGTTAAGAGAAAAGAAAATACTATCACGCAAGTGGCATATATAAACAATATGTGCATAGTACCAAAGCTTAATTATATGCTGCAAGTAACCAAGCTTCCAAAAAAGATAATAGACAATATACAAAGTCCAATTCTAAGATTAGCAAAAAATAAGCTAGAAATAGCAAGAACAGTTGGAACTAATGTAATTTTACACAGAAATTTAGGCAACTGCAACTCACTATGGAATCAATTACTGATGAAGCAAATTACAAGCTTACACAATCATTTAAACTCATCAGGCCCAAAGAAAATGCTAACCAGAATTCGAATAAGCCAAGGATTAGCATACATAGGAGGATCAGAAAACAATTGGCATAAAAATTTATCGAACATATATAACAAGCTTTGGAAAAACAATTTAGCATGTCAAGTAATGCTAAAAGCAAAAGACATACAAATAACATTTAGATTTAATAATTTAAATAATACGTGTAAGCAAAATGGGCAAAAAATTGCAGAAGTACTTAGAGAAAAGTTTACAGTACAAGCAGCAACAGCTTTAAAAAAACTAAATGTTTTTTACACAGAACAATTAATCAACAAAACTGGTGATCAAATGATTACATGGCAGCAACTCAAAGTTCTAAGAGGTAGCTCAAGTAAAGGAAAAGTGGCCAAATGGTT